TATAATTACGCCCACAATATTATGTGTATATGATATAATATTCATATATTACTATATCTACAATGTGTATACATTATTGTTCCCTCCAATTTTTAAACAAAAACAAAAACAAAAACAAACGCCAAGGTACCTGTGGTCAAACTATATTTTGAATTGTTGTCCGCACATCATCGTCTCTCTTGTGTTCTCTACTCTAGTAAGGTAAAAAGTTGTTCCCGCATCCGATCCGGACATAGGAGATTGCCTTGTTCATGAGACAACTTCCTGGGCCTTCGGCATATTGTGGTATGGCAGTTCCTTTCCACGCCGCCTGTACTTCCCCTACTCGAAGTCAGGTACCCATTACTGCTGGGTGGGCAGGAGGGGGCGAAAAAAATCTGTGTCCGAACCGGGGCTCGAAATCCGGACTTTCCACTCCGAAGACGAGCAATCTAACCGCTCCGCCACCGCTCCCTCTATTGTAAGGTGCTAGTATTATATATTATTATGATTTGTGAACTGTGTGTCACCAATGCCGCCCTATTTGTGAAGGTGGGTCGTAAACCTGTACCTACTGACACTCATCCCAATTTGTGTGACTAGCATTCTGAAAGAGACATGCGGGACGAATTTTAATGTTCTTTGGTTTTGTTCTTTCTTCTATTTTTTATTTTTTGGAGAAAGGGTGTGTAGGGGGAGGGGGGGAGAGGATCAAGAGGGTTAAGAGTTGAAAGGGCGTCGGAGCTCATTAAAACTCTTTAAAGTATGCGGACTGGGGCGTGTGGCGGTAAACTGACAATGCTATCGCCACTTGTGTGCGTTGAGCTCTTGCCCTGAAGTTCAAAGGAAAGTCGGTTTAAACGCTGGTAGATAGCGGACCATCCACTCAGTACATGGGGTTCATGCTTAGCAAATATGATGGGAACGTTGGAGTGAGGTGGGGGTGGGGATGGGGGAGTTCCAAAGATATTGAAAAGAACGATAAATTGCATTGGTTTTTTAAATTTTTGCAGCTTTTTTCGGGGGGGGGGGGGGGGGGGGGATTTTGAAAATATATATTTCTTTCTTTCTTTCTTTCTTTATCTATTCTTTCATTTATTTTTATTTTTTCATCTATCAATTAATTATTTATTTATTCATTTGTAAAATATTTATTCAGTTATTCATTTATCTTTTTATTTATTAGTGCTTTACTTTTTGTACCTACGGTCTTTTTTTTTTTTTTGCTTTAGCTTAATTTTTCCGTTTCAACATAAAATAATTTTGTAAGCACTAGCTTTCAGTCTTGAAAACTATTAATAATTAAAAATGAAACTGAAATTCTACGGAACAAGGGCATTAGCCGTGGTAATTTTGCGCTCAGAGGGACAATTTTATTTTGCCACAGCCTTGACAAAAGTCGGAAACCGGAGTATACTACTCAAGATAGCATTCAGCTAGCCATATGTCATCATCATCAGTGCCTTTCACCCCTGGCAGGGTATAGGCCACATGCAAGCTCCTTCCATTTATCTCTGTCCTGGGCCATCCTTCCTATTTCGTTCCAAGTGAGCTTCATCTCTCTCATGTCCCTTTCCACACACCTCCATGTTTCCCGTGGCCTACCCCTGCCTCGTGCTCCCTGTGGGTTCCTTTGCAGTGATTGTCATGTGATGTTTCTGCTGGGCTTTCTGAAGGTGTGTCCCATCCAACGCCACTTTCTTAGTCCTATTTCTACTTCTATATTATCCTTTTGCCCTGTCCTTTTCCACAGCTCTTCATTTCTTATTCTATCCTGCCACTTAATTCTTAGGATGCTCCCCATACATCTGTTGATGAAAATCTGGACTTTATTCAGCTCTGTCTTTGTTGTCTTCCACGTTTTGCAGCCGTTAAGGAGCACAGACTTGATATTGGAATTAAAGAGTCTAGCCATACGTACTCACATGATAAACAAGAATATACTGACAGCATGTCTTCAAACTCCAGTTACAGACACGTGATAGGCCATTTATTGAATTATGTCCCTCAAACTCTAACAGACAATTCAAATTTGGCTTGCTTTGACGCCCCCATGTGTTTAGTTTCGACGAGCTTTCACTATTTAATCTTATAAGGCCGTTATTCACTTTGCCCCACTCCCCACTTCTATGGAAAGACCTCCCAGGTGTAGACAGTCATCAATACTTGAAATTCCAAAAGCGTCCCAGCCCTGACTTTCTTGACATTTTTTTTCTCTCCAATTCAACTGTCTATTTTCTGAACTTACGTACCGAGACCTGTTGATTTCATGAGAGGAAATGCTTAGCAACGATATTTCAAGATGAAATGGACTAAACGGACTACAATGACTTGCTTGAATCCCTGGCCCGTACCGAACAACGACAAAACAGTTGGTCATCTCTTTTGTCTGTGAGTTGTGGAAATTGAAAGTAAGAAAAGCACGACTAGAAAGTTGTGTCGTGTTGGTGGGCTAGGTTTCTTTTAATTTCTTTGTTCACAACTCACACCCACAGTGCATTATTGAAGTTTTGGAGACTTTTCAGGTTCTCTGCCCACTTAGCTCGATTCTTTAAGAAAAGGGCACTGCTTCATAGATCCCGTCTCTTACGTAACTTTTCAATGTTGGAAGAGGCGTTAAAGTCACACAATAATACTTAAACATGACTGTATCTGTCTATCATGTTCTTTCCCAGCAACACATTATTAGCGTTATTGTGTTAATGTCCTCTTCTTAATTAATTCAAAATAAACTGTAGCCTCCTTTAGCCTGTCGCGGATGGCTGGAGGGCACAGTTGGCACTCCTTCCTTTTCTTTCCCTTTAGTCTTTCTGTCTATACTTCTAATTTTTCCCCAGAAACAAAGGATCCACTCCCCGGGGCGGTGCAACTGACTGAAGTGTCTTTTGGCCATTCCCAAAGGGGGGACGTTTCTCGTTCTAGTGCACAGAAGAATTGTAAATGGGCTAATCCAAAAATGCCATGTTCATAACTATGCCTGAACTACTACAGCGAACTGCTGCTTTTTCTTTCCTAATCTTTACTATCGTCATTTTGCTCTACTTCTTTTGAATATTTGTCACACTATTTTGTGACCTGCTATTTCTTGGGTGCCTTGATAGTCGAAGCAGGCTTTGTGCGGTGAAGCTAGAAAGGTGAGCAGACTAGGTGCCGTAAAACCTCTATTAAAATAAAATAAAACAAACCATCCATCTATTGTGTCGATGCACTTCTCATTACTCAACGCAAACTAAATTCTCCCGTCTGTGTTGTTGTCTGTGGTGCACCAATGGGCGCTTAGCCATCGCACAAAGAAGACATAAGTTCGGTTCATATGTGGTGAGGTTTTGTTGGGTTTTGTTTTTGGTTTTTATACGAGTACAATTACCCCCGTATGCAGGGATATTGTATCCCTTTCAGCCCTGACAAGCAAGGTTGAAATAGCCCGGCTCTTATAATATGATCTAAATTATGTCGATGGGGGATGCAAAAACACCTATATTAAAATATCGGATAGCGTATCAAATTAGACTCCACCATGCCATAATAGACAATAAGAAACCATAGCATACCACATCATACCTTACAATGAGATTATAACATTATGTTACACATACCATGATGAAGTGGGTGGTTGGAAGGCGCCACTGGTAGGCCCTCTCCTTTTCTGCCGCTTTGTTATTTCTGCCTGTTTTCTTAATTCCTCCTTGCTTTTAATGAATGGTGTAAGGTTGTGAAATTTACTCCGACGACAAATGTTGTCCCCATTGTCGTGTGTAGTTGACGGATACACTGCTATGGTTTGCTCCTTCAAACTTCTAGCAAACATCCCTTGTCTTTTTCGCTCCATCTTCTTTTTGTTTGGTTGTTGCTGTCTGTTAACACTTCCGATTTTCGGCATTTATATGAGCTATATGTGTTGAAAGTGCATTAAAACTCTAATTACGCGAGTGGTTGGAGGGCGCTATTGGTAGGTCCTAATTCTTTACTTTCTTTTTTGTTTCTGTTTGTCAGTCTTACTTTCCCAAGCACTAAATGACTGATACGTGTATAGTGTCGATGCGCTTCTCCTTACTCAAACAACCAATCAATCAATCAAACAAACAAACAACCTTTACCTACTAAAATTAAACAAAAACGATATAATTTTCTCCCCATTGCCCCCCCCCCCCCCAACCTCCTACCCGTCTCTCCCCTCAGGCACCCGAGAACAAGCCTACGTGTATGGCATCTCCTCCTCTGCCCTCGTCCATTCCATCTCCCGTGCCTGCAGTATCGGTGTGACCACCAAATGCAGCTGTGGCGTCCTGCCCAACACGACGCCTACGGGAAACTTCAAGTGGGGCGGCTGTGGCGACGACCTTCACTTCGGCCTCCTGTTCGGAGAGGCGTTCACGGACGCCACGCTGAGGAACAAGAAGGGCAAGGTCAAGACGTCCAAGAAAGCCATGATGAATAGACATAACTTCCGCGTGGGGAGGAAGGTGAGACCGTTGTTGATTTGTCTTCTGTTTGGTTGTTTGTGTCTTTGCTTGGTTGTTATAAGTGTTGTTATCTTTGTTGCCGTTGTTGTTGTTGATGATGTTCTTATTCTTGTTATTGATGTTGTTGTTTTATGGGGAAGGGTCTTTCTGTCTGTTTGTTTGATGGTCGTTGACATCATTGTTGTTGTTCATTTTGTTTGTTTTGTTTTTGTTTGTTGTTATTGTTCATTTGTTTACTTGTTTGTTTGTTTGTCTGTTTGTTTGTTTGTTTGTTTGTTTGTTTGTTTGTTTGTTTGAAGCATTATAAACTCACCACTGCCCACATTCATTCTCAATTACTGGGTCGACTCGTGGGCCAGACTGAAAGAGCTTGTGTTCTGGATCTGGCCCGCTGGCGTAGTTTGCCCATGTTATAAGATATTACTATAATATGGTCACTTAAGGACAAGCGGGCTAACCCAGATTTCGAGGGTTTCCAGAAATCTTGAGCTACACCAAAAGTGGGCATTGCCCTACCTATAGCAGACGTTTAGTTTCATTGGTGTGTATATATGTTTGGTTAAAGAGAAAACTTTCCTTGTATTTTAAAGAAACTGAACAAGGGGCAAAAACGTTACCCTTGATTTTCAGAATCACTATACTGTTGACGATGATACTTGAGGTTCAATCTTTTTTGTATTGCGATAGACGTTTACCAAGAGTGAAGGCAAACTCATAAGTGTTATAGTCTTGTGTTTCTATTGTTATTCTATAAAAGAAAGCTTCAAACCACGTCTCAAAAAGGAATAGTCCTTCTGTAAACATTGTTAAATACGCCCTTTGATCGTGCCTCCAGCGACCTTCGGCTTTAAACATGACTGATACGGCTTTTTGTCCTTTTTCTGTACAATATATCTGTGTGTCAGGTCACTGTTTTTGACAATTTGTAGGATCTAGATTAGAAACTGGCAAGAACATCTACACAATATTTACATTCGTTACCGTAGATTGCTGTTGTCGCTTGCTTTGTGTTTGTTTTGTTATGTGTTATTGTTGTTATTGTTGTTGATTGTGGTGGTGGTGGCAGTGGTAGACGTGGCAGTGGTGGTGGTGGTATTGTTATTATTGTTATTATTGCTGTTGGTGATGTGGATGTCGCTTTTGTTTCTGTTTCTTCGAGTTGCAGGTCGAAACGCTTAAATATCAGCTCGTTTCAAGTTTTCACAATTGTCAGTTTTGTTTCGTCCCTTTAGAGCGTACATAAGGATTACAATTCTGATATAGAAGTAGAAAATTGCTTGCACTAAGACCAACATATGGCTTAAACAAACTGTCAACTTTCACGAAACAACTTGTCGAGTAGTTTAGACATAGGGTTCTGGTAATCAAATCAGCAGGCAATAAATAACAATAAGCGAACCAGTTATTTCCAGGTTCTGTCAGGTAAAAATCCACAGCGGAAAATTCCGGAATGGCCTAATAACGTCACTCAACAGTGAGCTAAAATAAGAAAGAGAAAACGAATCCAAACACAACACTCACAACCGTGACGCGCAAATAACGTGGCATCAACTTCCAGACAGAGAAATGGACGGCCCCCAAATCGAGTAATCAAACCAGCAGACAATACCAGTAGGGTCCGTCTGCTAAACATCACAGCAGGACAATCCCCACAGCTCTGTTCAAACAAACAATCAGTTTGTCTTTCGCATTTTACTTTTTTTGTTAGTTTATTTTTCGCATTTTTTATATTTGCGCATTTTTTGTTTTGTTTTGTTTTGTTTTCCACATTTCAATTGCGGGCAGAGCGGTTTACTTTCCCTCAATTGCTGGCGCGCTGTGCCGTTCGGTCAGCTCATCGTAAAACAAATCCCTGGGCTATCATAAACAGTGTGAGGGATTTGACGTGCGTGGCTGGTCAATAGCTATATAAACAGTGTTTGTGAGTGTTGCATCAATAAATCACAACTGGGTCTGATGTCTAGCATAGATGTTCAACAACAGATACTCGGCTGCGCCTTGTTTGGAACGGGGCCTAATAGACGACAAAACATTTTGGATTCTTTTCAACGGTGAGAAATGAGGATTGGGAAATGTCATCTTGTCTATCAGCCAGTTTGACTTTCCGTGCGTCAATGATATATTTTCTTTTTTCTACATGTATTTACTATCGGTAGACATTTTCTTACCACCTCCCCATATTTCTGTTAGTTTGTCCATTGTTTAACTTTTCATTTTTATTATGCCTATGTGTTGGCCTAATGGCCTACTATTTCGTACCTGGCCATGATATCCCCAACTGTACCTATACCTGATAAACGCCTTCCGATCTTTGAAACAGAAAACGACAACATGAACGAGGAGAAAAATGATTAATCTAAAGAAAGTTAAGAACACACGCAGAAAAACTATTCAATATAACTCTTATATAATATCAACAGATTGTGGAAGCTGTTATGTCTCACTTTTCAATACAAC